GAGAGAGAGAGAGAGGGGGGGGGGAGTGTGGGTATGTGTGTGGTGTATTATGCATTCACTATAAGAGGAGACATTTCTGACCCTGACTTCCACATGTGGGGATGTCTGGAATACATTAATGTCAATTCTTGATCATTCATTTTCTCATACCTCATACATTGTGGTCTTAAATATATGATGGCCTGTCACTCTATTTGCCAAACAGTATATGTTTTAAGACCTTCTTTAATACCGTATTGACATGACAGGTGCCCGTCACTGGCATGATGTGGGAACATATGTTTTATGTTTCCTTTTTGAGTCTAGTAAGACAAGGCTTCTTCTTTTTCTCTTATACCGCTTTTGACGTTAAGGAAAAGTTTTGCTTCTTCATCTTCTGGCCCACATTGTTGTCGGTCGGGACAGTATTCAAATCTTTCAGGACTACTTGGTGGCAAGCAAATGCTAAGCTATTTTATATAGCGCACATAACCTAGTCACAATATAACCAAAAGCTACCCCCTTTGAGGGTGCTGGTTTAACGTGACATGTTCTTTTCTTGGTCAAGTCAAGACATTTCTGGTCGCTTTGACAATAGACATATGGTGCTCTTGTAGAGTTCTGTGATATTATCGTTCAGTCTTGTTGTTTGCTCTGTCTCCTTCTCCTCTTTGGGTGTATAGCTTGTATGGCACGGCACCACAAGTCATTCTGGCTAAGCAGGCAGAACATTTGATTTGCTGCTTTGTTTGAGGTTTAGATTTGGTAAGAAAAGGCTTCCACCCCACGTTGTGTTGATATTATTGTAAGCTTTTCTTGTTATTGCAAGCTTGTTTCTATTTTAATGTCTGTTGTTATTATTATTCCACTGGCTATTTAACATTCAGTGACTTTTCATTTTAAAAATCTTCTTTTTGTGCAAGAAGTCATGAACTGTTTATATGTTTGGATTTAAATTGTTTCACATTTCATGTTTGATTAAACACATTTTTCTTGAGAATCTTCATTGTATTAAAAATGTATTTAACCAGAAATAAACTGTAGAGTTAAAAATGTATTAACATAATATGCAATGACAGAATTAAAATGTATTAACATAATTTACAATTAAGAAATTATAACGTATCAAACATCATAAATAGTCATTGAGTTAACATCATATATGATTGTTTGGTTTAAAATATATTTAGCGCAGATCCGAAAAGGAAGAGAAATTTCCAGGTACCCAAAAAAATAGTTCTTATCAGAATTTCTTCTTATCCAGATAAGAGTTAAAACATATGATTAATTTCCGGCAGTAAACAAATTGTTTTTCACAACAGAAATTCACCATATCCGAGATTGCCTTTATTGGTCTGCACTGTATCGTATAATATGTGTTGTGTGCTGAATTCACTAGGCTGGTTAGAGGCGTGATCGCCTACGCCAGTCGTAAGGCACAGGATGATGATAGTAACAGAGACATAGGCTAAAGGGGTACATGTGGCTTGGGGTGAGAGACGAGTGCAAAGATCCACGATGTGCACGTAGGTGTGAAAGAGGTGTTTCTGAAAATTCACGATTAACAGTGGTTTGCATGCGCTTAGCAAGAACCATACAGGGGTCAGAGCTCTGAGCTAAGGGCCAGAGCTCTGAGCTAAGGGTTGGTCGTGGGTGCTAAGTTTAGTGCTTCTCAGCAAGTCGGATCTGACTGAAGAGAAAGATATGCAAGAACTGACAGTAAAAGTGTGAGCTGGCAAACTTACGACGTTTGTAATCAATAAATTATTAGTGAGGATATTTAATTTGATTGAAAGTACTAACATTCTTTTGTTTTTCCACGAAATATCCCAATCACTTCAAGACAACATGTGCCCAGTTAATTCTTTACATACCATGGTTTTGCAGCCACAAGTGCATTGAATATCCAGATTTGAGAATAATACTTTAAAGTTTATTAAATTGCCTAACAAATTCAAAAGTTATGAGTTTTTTGGTTTATTTATCACTCAGAGGCAATTATAGAGGTAATTATAAAATGCTGAGAAAAAATGGCAGAAAAATGGAGAGTTACACACAAAATATTTATAAGTTCGGGTTGTGCACTATAGTTATAAAGTGCACATCTACTTTCAAATCTAGCTACCAGTTGTTGTTGTTCTCCTGCTTCGCTCCTCCTCTCCTCCATCTCTTCTTCTTCAGCATTCAGCCTTAAAAGGGTGTTTGGCACATTATGTTGTGGTTTACTGCCAGGTTGTAATACCTTCATATTTTGGACCAGCACATCTGATTTCAGCAAACTCTGATTTAGTTGCTAAGCACAGTTAGTGTATTGTCAGCTAAACCCACAGTGCATTGTATTCCTGCACACACTGTAGCTGAGGTTTTACGGTACAGATTTCCCAGATGACAACTGTTGTCATAAATGGGGCTATTATCTTGTAAGTGTTGTTTTCAATTGGCTGTAAGCCCGCGGATCAATAGTTTCTTGCTGGAGTTTTTTCAGATGTTGCTTGAAGGGATTCCAGGACTAGATAATGTATGGTCATGTAGATCAATTTGTGTATGGTTAGATTCAGCGGAGGAAACAACGCAGACGCTGTGAATGACATTCAGTGCATAGAGAAAACGATAGACAGACATTTAATCAGGTTGCCCATGGCAACATCAATATGAGAACTCTTTGTTCTCTGAGAAAGCACCGCGGAAGGTGACGGAACGCATTGGGGGAATGTCTACAGTACAAGGATATCTTCTCTGTCTTTATTTGTTGAATCAGTCTTTCCCATTTAGAGGTCAATGGACTACAGTTAAGAAGTCTTTGATACATTTACAAGAGAGACAAAAACTGGAGCTTTAGAAATCAACTGTTTTTTGTGATCCTATGTTTATAAATGATACAAATTTCTCAAGTATGTCTGTACTCCTTTTGTGGGTTCCATGGCTCCATTTTGGACAACAAACAATAGACCCGCTGGGTGTCTCCCCCCCCCCCCCCCCCCCCCCCAAACAAGCATTTCGTAGGACATTAGATAATTAATTATAATTAGTTGTGTTTCATTCAAAGTCAGCTTGCATCTGCCTGAGTGGCAAGTAACCAACACTTTGCATACTAGTAAGCCAGCAGATTGGCAAACTTCACTAGGAAGGTCATGGGTAGTGGGCATACTTTGGATCTTTTTTTCCAGGCGATGCCGGAGTAGCGGGTAATGAACAGGCAGAGAGATTGGCTGGATCTGCACCACTGGGTGGTGAATTGATACATTACCAAGCAGATGTGGTCAAGGTCCTTTGGGAACAAGCAAGTCAGCTCAAGAAAAAAGCCAGATCTGTAAAACAATTGTGCATACAAAAGCCAGGTTCTGGATAAAGACCAAAGTCCAGAAGTGGACAGACAGTCAGAGCTTTCCGCTGGAGTTTACAGTCAGTGAAAGAGGCTAAGAAGAAAAGTATGTCTTCTAAAAAAGCATCAGCTCGCCGTGGCAGACCTTTGGTTACTAGAGAGGTCCATAGCAAATTGAGAACTACTGGCACAGGAGTATATCTTCTCTAGCGTGATAACTGCAAGGGTTACATTTTGTTTTAGACAATCGTTTTTCTCCTCCTCCTTCGGAGGAACCTATTTCATTCTCATGCCTAGATCACTGCCTGTTTGTCTGGCTTTCTCAGAAAATTGTGAAATAATAAGAACTGCAAAGGAAAAATCTCTTGGTAGTTGGAAATTATAGAGAGCAGACCATAAAACCAGTCTTCTCGTAACCCAGTCATGTGACACCAGTCAGTCTATCAGTCTGCTCATTGCCCTACATATCTGCATATCCTGGGCAGATAATCTGCTGAACATAATTTTTTAAATACATCATTGTACTTAAGTGCTGTTAATATTCATTAGTATCTGCTTAGTTTTTCTCAAAGCTTGTATTATAGGGCCTACCGATCGGCCCATTCGTCTTTTTGGCTATTTTGTGGCCGGCCAATAAATCCTGCCATGACGAAAGACTGTCCTCTGTCCAGTTCCAGTTGTAGAAAAAAAAAGTTAAACAGTCGACCATGTTCAACAGTATTCAGTTATATTTGTGATCTGGGTTTATTTGTGCCAGGATTGATGGCTCAGTGTGCATGTCCCAGTGTATTGTCCATCCCTACGTGTCTGGGTCCTATTTTGCTGACTCCTGTTGTTGGTTGTATCCTCCTTGTTCTGGTTGTGTTATTTTTGGTAAATTGCTGCCCGGGTGTGGGCCCTTTGTGTTGGCTGTTCTCCTTTTATGTGGCCCTGAGACACTTCAGTCCTGTTCATGGTCCGTATCCCCTGTCTAGAAAACAGTAATAGACTCACTGTCTCCCCAACAAGCATACCGTAAGAGTGGACTAACTAGGGGCTTCCATCAAAGTCAGACTACATCTGTGAAGTTGTAGTATACTGGTGGCTTTATGTTTGCCTGCTCGCCTAGTTGATTTGGTTTTTACAAACCTAAAGGATGTGGGGCACACCCACCTGAGGGCCTGATGGTCATTTCTCAGAATTCCTTTCAAGCTATGGTTTCTTCTACACACCAACCTTTCTTCCTAGGTTCACCCAGCTTTAAAAAGTTATCAGAAAATATTTCGGGAAGTAAACATGGCTAACATGTTGTTCACCCTATTACACATTGAATGTTATATGGTCTAAAACGTGTACTATATTTTTCCTTAAATAAGACAATCCCTTTTGTGTGGGGATCCCTATTTTTTTTTTTAGATTCTAATTAATAAATAAATATTTTAATCACATTCCATGCATAAGACGACCCCAAGTTTTAAACTTAAATAATTTTTGAAAACGTATCGTATACATGGACAAGTATACATAAGCCATTATTCATCTAATGGCAGCAAAGGGCTCATTTTCTGTACTAGTATGTTGTTACTGTTTTGGCCAGCGTGGTACGGTACATAACTAGTTCTCAAGCATACATACAAAACATTTTGTATTGTAGCTGATTATTACATGGGTTTTATGTTGTCTGCACCTAATACTTAAGTTAATTTGTAACTATTTCCAGTTTCTGCAAAGGGTGTGCCACTAAAAGGTGAACCGGTTCAGATTGTAACCGCCACAGACCACCACACGTTTGAGCTGGACGAGGAGGCTTTGGAGAAAGTTCTGCTGCGACCGGACGTGCGAGATAAGAAGGTTTCTATTGTGTCTGTTGCTGGATCCTTCCGGAAGGGAAAGTCTTTTCTGTTGGACTTCTTCTTGCGATACCTCAGTGCTAATGTGAGTAGTTGGGAATGGTCCTCTTCTTTTTCTTTCTTCTCTTCCTCCTTCTCCTCCTCTTCTTCTTTTGCATTTATCCTTAAAAGGGCAGTTGACATAGTGTTGTTGTCAGCTAGGCTGTGTCAGCCTAAGACATCAAATTTTAGCAGATTTCATTAGTCATCATTTACTACATGTGCCTGTGTGGGTTTTAGGGTCCTATTGTGAGGAAAGGAGAATAGAGCCACCGCCTCCCTAACAAGTAGTTGTAAGAGTCCACTAATTAAATGTTTTCTTCAAAGTCAGAGTGCATCTGCCTGAGAGGCAAGGAACCAACAGTCTGCGTACAAATAAACCAGATCTGTAAAATGGATGTGTTCATAAAAGTCCAGTTCTGGAAGAGACTAAAGAATAGAAGTGGACCAATAACCAGAACTTTCCATGGGAGTTTACAGTAGGGGGGGGGGGGGCGTGATTTACAACATGTTTGTTAACCCTCCACTCTGTAAGAATCTCATAAATTACCTTTTTTCCCCCCAAAACACATCAGAAAGAAACACATCCTTATAATTCTCTTAATCACTACCCTAAGAAACTAGAGACAGAGAGGAAGAGGCAGAAGAAGAAATCTGAAGTCTTTTGACAGTTTTTATGAAAATCCAGGAGGTTCGAACCCCCGACCACTAAGCAGACCGGCAAGCCTGCTAGCTATTGCATTATCCTGGCCCCAAATGATACCCCCCCCCCCCCCCCCTTCCCCTTTCATGTAAAGTAACAGACTTGGTAAAATCAGTTTATATAATAAGGGAAGTAATCACAAAATACACACACAGCAATGAGTTAACTGCTATCTCTCCCTTTGACCACGAAAAAGGCTGTTTTCTGGACATAGCCACTTGGAGAAAAGGATGTTGTAATGATGACACTGTGAAGTAACCAAGACCATAAAAGCCCCAAATGATGACTAGATATTTTTGAAGGAGATATAATTACACCCAGCACATCTACATTCGCATGTAAGAATGACATGGATTGCAAGGATTAATTAGATACGATGGATTCATTAGATTAGTAGGACCTTATCTACTTCTTTTTTATGTTCACCGGTTGTTAACTCTGGCAGAAAGTTTGGGTTGTTTGTCCACTTCTGTACTTTGGTCTTGTTCCAGAACTTGAGTTGTGCGTGCACACAAATTTGACAGATCTGGCGTAATTGTAAGCAGACTGTTGTTTCCTTACCTCTTGGGCAGATGCATTCCACTTCAAAGGAAACACCTTGAATTAGTCAACTTTTATGGGATGGAAAATGGTAATATTGGCGCTCCCCCCCCCCCCAGTGGTGCCCCAGAGGCCACACAGGGAGCACCTAATGAAATAGCCAGACGTGAATCCATAGAACACCAGTGTCTGTCTGTTAAAATATGTTATCATTGATCCCAACCTTTAGTGTGCACCTGACTGGCTGGGAGATGACGATGCTCCCCTGGAAGGCTTCTCCTGGAGAGGTGGTTCAGAGAGAGACACAACAGGAATCCTCATGTGGAGCGAACCATTTATAACAACAACCAGAGACGGAGAGGAGGTGAGTGACCTGCCTGGCTCGTCCAGGATTTTACTTTGTATTTACTGTCTTACAGTCAGAGATTACAAGTCATCTCATCATCTTAAGGTCAAAATACAAGATCACATTATTCACATCCTAGGGTAGAAGGACAAGATCACATTATTCACATCCTAGGGTAGAAGGACAAGATCACATTATTCACATCCTAGGGTAGAAGGACAAGATCACATTATTCACATCCTAGGGTAGAAGGACAAGATCACATTATTTACATTCTAGGGTAGAAGGACAAGATCACATTATTCACATCCTAGGGGAGAAGGACAAGATCACATTATTCACATCCTAGGGTAGAAGGACAAGATCACATTATTTACATTCTAGGGTAGAAGGACAAGATCACATTATTTACATCCTAGGGGAGAAGGACAAGATCACATTATTTACATCCTAGGGTAGAAGGACAAGATCACATTATTTACATTCTAGGGTAGAAGGACAAGATCACATTATTTACATCCTGGGGTAGAAGGACAAGATCACATTATTCACATCCTAGGGTAGAAGGACAAGATCACATCTTCCAGTTCCAGTTGTGCGCACGCACACTTACACGCACGTGTTGACCATATGCAAACAGCTTTGACTGCCAGCAGCATTGGGTTGTGTTTGTAAGATCACATATTACATGTGCACATTATTGCAGGCAAGGACAGAATAAGAATTTTAAACAATATAGTTGCTGTCCCACCCACTTGTACTGCAGGATACTGTCCGTAGCTGTCCGCAATTGCGGAGTACCTCGGTGTAACTTTGTTATACAGTTGAAAGTTTTCCAGGGTTTGTTCCTGTCTGATTCTCATTTTTGAGATGTTAATCCTACAGGATTTGTTCCTGTCTGATTCTCATCCTTGAGATGTTAATCCTACAGGATTTGTTCCTGTCTATTTCTCATCCTTGAGATGTTAGTCCTACAGGATTTGTTCCTGTCTGATTCTCATCCTTGAGATGTTAATCCTACAGGATTTGTTCCTGTCTGATTCTCATCCTTGAGATGTTAATCCTACAGGATTTGTTCCTGTCTGATTCTCATCCTTGAGATGTTAATCCTACAGGATTTGTTCCTGTCTGATACTCATCCTTGAGATGTTAATCCTACAGGATTTGTTCCTGTCTGATTCTCATCCTTGAGATGTTAATCCTACAAGATTTGTTCCTGTCTGATTCTCGTCCTTGAGATGATAGTCCTACAGGATTTGTTCCTGTCTGATACTCATCCTTGAGATGTTAATCCTACAGGATTTGTTCCTGTCTGTTTCTCACCCTTGAGATGATAGTCCTACAGGATTTGTTCCTATCTGTTTCTCACCCTTGAGATGATAGTCCTACAGGATTTGTTCCTGTCTGATTCTCATCCTTGAGATGTTAATCCTACAGGATTTGTTCCTGTCTGATTCTCATCCTTGAGATGTTAATCCTACAGGATTTGTTCCTGTCTGTTTCTCACCCTTGAGATGATAATCCTACAGGATTTGTTCCTGTCTGTTTCTCATCCTTAAGATGTTAGTCCTACAGGATTTGTTCCTGTCTGTTTCTCATCCTTGAGATGATAGTCATACAGGATTTGTTCCTGTCTGTTTCTCGTCCTTGAGATGTTAATCCTACAGGATTTGTTCCTGTCTGATTCTCGTCCTTGAGATGTTAATTCTACAGGATTTGTTCCTGTCTGTTTCTCATCCTTGAGATGATAGTCCTACAGGATTTGTTCCTGTCTGTTTCTCACCCTTGAGATGATAGTCCTACAGGATTTGTTCCTGTCTGTTTCTCACCCTTGAGATGATAGTCCTGCAGGATTTGTTCCTGTCTGATTCTCATCCTTGAGATGTTAATCCTGCAGGATTTGTTCCTGTCTGATTCTCATTCTTGAGGTGATAGTCCTACAGGGGAAGTAATTAAAGGTCCCTTTCCCCCGCCTTTCGTCGTACTGGACATATAGGGCTTGACCTATATTTGTATAGACCAATCAGCACATGGCGGGTGATGTGGTCAGCATCACCTCAGCCGCCTTTACTTTCCAGGACTTCACTTGGTACCCACTCACAGTTGGGTCGACCTGGGAGTCAAAAGTAATTTTTGAAAAAAGTCTGGTTCCATCATAGGGCGAACCGACAACCTTCAGATCCACAGGTGGGCGGACGACTCCTTTACAGGGGAAGATTATAAAAAAAGACTATTATTGTTCATGTAGGTTCAGGTAATGCTGCCACTGTGTGTCTGTATCTTGTTGTGTGTCTGTATCTTGTTGTGTGTCTGTATCTTGTTGTGGGTCTGTATCTTGTTGTGTGTCTGTATCTTGTTGTGTGGCTGTATCTCGTTGTGTGGCTGTATCTCGTTGTGTGGCTGTATCTTGTTGTGTGTCTGTATCTTGTTGTGTGGCTGTATCTCGTTGTGTGGCTGTATCTCGTTGTGTGGCTGTATCTTGTTGTGTGGCTGTATCTTGTAGTGTGTCTATCTCGTTGTGTGTCTGTATCTCATTGTGTGGCTGTATCTCATTGTGTGGCTGTATCTCGTTGTGTGGCGGTATCTTGTTCAACCTGTGCTTGTTTCTCCTCTTGTTCACAGATAGTGATCCTCTTGATGGACACACAGGGAGCATTTGACAGCGAGTCAACCGTCAAAGACTGTGCAACCATTTTCGCCCTTAGTACCATGGTCAGTTCGGTGCAGGTAGGTCATTACATATAGTATCATTACTGATAGCATCTTTACAGGTAGTATCACTACTATTAGTATCACTACTGGTAGTATCTTTACTGGAAGTATCTTTACAGGTAGTATCACTACTATTAGTATCACTACTGGTAGTATCTTTACTGGAAGTATCTTTACAGGTAGTATCACTACTATTAGTATCACTACTGGTAGTATCTTTACTGGAAGTATCTTTACAGGTAGTATCACTACTATTAGTATCACTACTGGTAGTATCTTTACTGGTAGAATCATTACTGGTAGTATCACAACTTGTAGTATGGTACCTGTAGTATTATTAAAGGTAGTATCACTGCTGGTAGTATCTTTACAGGTAGTATCACTACTGGAAGTATCTTTACAGGTAGTATCACTACTGGTAGTATCTTTACAGGTAGTATCACTACTGGTAGTATCTTTACAGGTAGTATCACTACTGGTAGTATAGTACCTGTAGCATTATTAAAGGTAGTATCATTACTGGTAGTATCATTACTGATAGTATCACTACTGGTAGTATCATTACAGAATGTATATACGATTCTGGCGGTTCACCTGTAATTCTATATTTAAAATATTTCCTCAGGTGTTCAACTTAACGCAGAATATTCAAGAAGATGATTTGCAGCATCTGCAGGTATGGTTGCAACGACTGGCCAGTGTCACTCTTGCTTGTCTTGTGCTGTAGGCTGCTCCCACTCTAGAATTAAGTACATTCCTAATAAGACTGGTATAAACCTCTTCGTCCAGGCTGCAGGAGGTGAGGGTGACTAGAGTAGTTCAGTAATCCCAGCATAGAAGAGGACAGACTAAACATTGCAGAAGGGTTGCTTGACACCCCTAGATAGAAGTGGAGAGACTGAACATGGCAGAAGGGTAGCTTGACATCCCTAGATAGAAGTGGAGAGACTGAACATTGCAGAAGGGTGGCTTGACACCCCTAGATAGAAGTGGAGAGACTAAACATTGCAGAAGGGTGGCTTGACACCCCTAGATAGAAGTGGAGAGACTTAACATGGTAGAAGGGTAGCTTGACACCCCTAGATAGAAGTGGAGAGACTGAACATTGCAGAAGGGTGGCTTGACACCCCTAGATAGAAGTGGAGAGACTGAACATGGCAGAAGGGTAGCTTGACACCCCTAGATAGAAGTGGAGAGACTGAACATTGCAGAAGGGTGGCTTGACACCCCTAGATAGAAGTGGAGAGACTGAACATTGCAGAAGGGTGGCTTGACACCCCTAGATAGAGGTGGAGAGACAAGACTAGAGTTTTACACCCCAGAGTACAAGAGGAATGACTAAACTAGATTAAAGTAATTATACACCGCAAGGTAGAAGAGGAAAGACTGATGTAAAATTCCAGTTTTGATTGGTATGTCCTGATGTAAAGTGACAGTTTTCATTGGTATGTCCTGATGTGAAGTGACAGTTTTCATTGGTATGTCCTGATGTGAAGTGACAGTTTTCATTGGTATGTCCTGATGTGAAGTGACAGTTTTCATTGGTATGTCCTGATGTGAAGTGACAGTTTTCATTGGTATGTCCTGATGTAAAGTGACAGTTTTCATTCGTTTGTCCTGATGTAAAGCAACAGTTTTGATTGGTTTGTCCTGATGTAAAGAGACAGTTTTGATTGGTATGTCCTGAAGTAAAGTGACAGTTTTGATTGGTATGTCCTGATGTAAAGTGACAGTTTTGATTGGTATGTCCTGATGTAAAGTGACAGTTTTGATTGGTATGTCCTGGTGTAAAGTGACAGTTTTGATTGGTATGTCCTGATGTAAAGTGACAGTTTTGATTGGTATGTCCTGATGTAAAGTGACAGTTTTGATTGGTTTGTCCTGATGTGAAGTGACAGTTTTGATTGGTATGTCCTGATGTAAAGTGACATTTTTCACTGTTGTTTTTCCCCAGCTGTTTACAGAGTATGGCAGACTGGCTCTGGAAGCCAATGACAATGTTTCGAAACCTTTTCAGGTGAGTCGTCTGTGGGCACTTGCTACTTAATGGGTATTACACTGACGGGCGTTTATTGCAGAACCTAGAAGACATAGCTTTTATATAAGGATATTTCTCAGTCTAAGTCCGTTTGGTATTTTAGAAATATATGAATGCTTTACTTTAGTTGACAATACTGGTCAACTTGCTCTTGTTGGAGATTGAGAGCAGAACACTACTTTGGCAAGGAAGAGTACTAATAATGATTTTGCATATGTGCCAGACAAATTATCTTCATGTTCCAAACTGTCCAGAAAACGGTCCACTTCTACCACTTCTTCTTGTGCCAACTCTTCTTTCTGCTCTTCCTCCTACTACTTCTTGTGCCAACTCTTCTTTCTGCTCTTCCTCCTTCTACTTCTTGTGCCAACTCTTCTTTCTGCTCTTCCTCCTTCTACTTCTTGTGCCAACTCTTCTTTCTGCTCTTCCTCCTCCTACTTCTTGTGCCAACTCTTCTTTCTGCTCTTCCTCTTCCTACTTCTTGTGCCAACTCTTCTTTCTGCTCTTCCTCCTCCTACTTCTTGTGCCAACTCTTCTTTCTGCTCTTCCTCCTCCTACTTCTTGTGCCAACTCTTCTTTCTGCTCTTCCTCCTCCTACTTCTTGTGCCAACTCTTCTTTCTGCTCTTCCTCCTCCTACTTCTTGTGCCAACTCTTCTTTCTGCTGCTCTTCCTCCTCCTACTTCTTGTGCCAACTCTTCTTTCTGCTCTTCCTCCTCCTACTTCTTGTGCCAACTCTTCTTTCTGCTCTTCCTCTTCCTACTTCTTGTGCCAACTCTTCTTTCTGCTCTTCCTCCTCCTACTTCTTGTGCCAACTCTTCTTTCTGCTCTTCCTCCTCCTACTTCTTGTGCCAACTCTTCTTTCTGCTCTTCCTCCTCCTACTTTTTGTGCCAACTCTTCTTTCTGCTCTTCCTCCTCCTACTTCTTGTGCCAACTCTTCTTTCTGCTCTTCCTCCTCCTACTTCTTGTGCCAACTCTTCTTTCTGCTCTTCCTCCTCCTACTTCTTGTGCCAACTCTTCTTTCTGCTCTTCCTCCTTCTACTTCTAGTGCCAACTCTTCTTTCTGCTCTTCCTCCTCCTACTTCTTGTGCCAACTCTTCTTTCTGCTCTTCCTCCTCCTACTTCTTGTGCCAACTCTTCTTTATGCTCTTCCTCCTCCTACTTCTTGTGCCAACTCTTCTTTCTGCTCTACCTCTTCCTACTTCTTGTGCCAACTCTTCTTTCTGCTCTTCCTCCTCCTACTTCTTGTGCCAACTCTTCTTTCTGCTCTTCCTCCTCCTACTTCTTGTGCCAACTCTTCTTTCTGCTCTTCCTCCTCCTACTTCTTGTGCCAACTCTTCTTTCTGCTCTTCCTCCTTCTACTTCTTGTGCCAACTCTTCTTTCTGCTCTTCATCCTCCTACTTCTTGTGCCAACTCTTCTTTATGCTCTTCCTCCTCCTACTTCTTGTGCCAACTCTTCTTTCTGCTCTTCCTCCTTCTACTTCTTGTGCCAACTCTTCTTTCTGCTCTTCCTCCTCCTACTTCTTGTGCCAACTCTTCTTTCTGCTCTTCCTCCTCCTACTTCTTGTGCCAACTCTTCTTTCTGCTCTTCCTCCTCCTACTTCTTCTGCCAACTCTTCTTTCTGCTCTTCCTCCTTCTACTTCTGAATCAGACGGGAAATCTGAAAATGGGTCACTTTCTGAAATACTTCATCATTTCAGAAATGACGGGTTGTGTCTAAGATCTAGAGATTTTTGTGGGCTACTGATTTATGGTCCACTTGTTACATGACCAAACCATTGAGTTTTCTGATGTTTTGTATTATTAAAAAAAAAAGCTTTTTGCATTTCACAACTTCAGAATCCTCATGTACTAGGAGTTCAGTTTCCACATCAGACAGTTTTTTTAATTTGCTTTTAAATTTACTTGTCATGACTTTTGGGAAGCGGTGCAAAGATCGCGCTGTGGTTGAAATTTGGGCCTCATTATACACATTATTCCCAAAGACATTAGGGGCACTGCAGTCGGCCTTTGTTATGGAGATGACACAGAGAGAGAAAGAGATGAAACATTTGCTTCCAGAAACGGGAATAGCTATCATGTTAACATAGCTGCTTTATATATAATTCACAAACAGTGTATTGATCGGCACTTAGTACATTGTCTGTCTGTTTATTATATATTATGTTTCTGCGGCCTCAGGGGTTCCCCGCCTGTTTATTTATGCATATAACATTGTTACGTGCTGATTTAACATTACAACACTGACATTTCCGTTAGTTAAAGTTTACGTGGGATTGAATATGGTTGCTCTCCTGCTGTTTACAGTCCCTGCAGTTCCTTGTGAGAGACGCATATAACATTGTTACGTGCTGATTTAACATTACAACACTGACATTTCCGTTAGTTAAAGTTTACGTGGGATTGAATATGGTTGCTCTGCTGCTGTTTACAGTCCCTGCAGTTCCTTGTGAGAGACGCATATAACATTGTTACGTGCTGATTTAACATTACAACACTGACATTTCCGTTAGTTAAAGTTTACGTGGGATTGAATATGGTTGCTCTGCTGCTGTTTACAGTCCCTGCAGTTCCTTGTGAGAGACGCATATAAACATTGTTACGTGCTGATTTAACATTACAACACTGACATTTCCGTTAGTTAAAGTTTACGTGGGATTGAATATGGTTGCTCTCCTGCTGTTTACAGTCCCTGCAGTTCCTTGTGAGAGACGCATATAACATTGTTACGTGCTGATTTAACATTACAACACTGACATTTCCGTTAGTTAAAGTTTACGTGGGATTGAATATGGTTGCTCTGCTGCTGTTTACAGTCCCTGCAGTTCCTTGTGAGAGACGCATATAACATTGTTACGTGCTGATTTAACATTACAACACTGACATTTCCGTTAGTTAAAGTTTACGTGGGATTGAATATGGTTGCTCTGCTGCTGTTTACAGTCCCTGCAGTTCCTTGTGAGAGACGCATATAACATTGTTACGTGCTGATTTAACATTACAACACTGACATTTCCGTTAGTTAAAGTTTACGTGGGATTGAATATGGTTGCTCTGCTGCTGTTTACAGTCCCTGCAGTTTCTTGTGAGAGACTGGAGCTTCCCGTACGAGGCCCCGTATGGTGCAGTTGGAGGGAGACAGATCTTGGAAAAAAGGTTAAAGGTCAGTTTATGGTTATGTTGCATTTGAAATGGAGTAACCTGAATGATGTCAGTGTCAGATGTATTCGTAAAAACTGTAGGAAGCCCGTGCAGCCACCGTCCATCACGGAGGTTTAAAAAACCAGAGACACTTTCGAAATTCTTCTTTTTCTTCTTCGCGTTCACCAGCTGTAAACTCTGGCGGAAAGTTCTGGTTGCTCCTCCACTACTGAACTGCAGTCCTGCTCCAGAGGCTGAGTGTTGCGTGTTCATCAGTTTTACAGATCTCATTCTCTTGAATACCCACTGTTGGTTCCTTGCCTCTCCGGCAGATGCACTCCGACTTCAAAGGAAGCTCCCCAATTAGTTGACTCTTACGACATGCTTTTGGGGAGGCAGTGGGTCTATTCTTGTTTTCCCCACAATGGGGCCCCGGAACCCACACGGGGGGGGTACTTTCGAAATTAAAACAAAACAAATTGTGAAAACGCAGTGGAGAGAAGGAAATTAAAATACAGACCAAATAAATGGCCTCAGCAGGAATGAGCAAACTGTAAATTCTAAGAGGCAGGCTGGAACACCATAAACTCACCTTCATTGCATAGATCTTGTAGCTCTTTTACTCTTGGATACATAACATCCAAGCAAACTTCCTGGCATGTCTATCAAGACTAGCCAAGTTTTACCAGCCCCAGAGAAGAAATCTGGCTTTCAGAATGTTGGTAGGTTTGTGTTTTGTCAGTGTGTGTTGTGTATGTGTTGTGTCAGTGAGTGTGTGTGTATGTACCAGTGTATATTGTGTCAGTGTGTGTGTGTGTATCTGTGTATACTGTGTCAGAGTGCGTGTTGTCAGGGTGTCCACCTTTTGTGAGTGTAAGTGTGTTTGTGTATATGTGTGAGTATGTGTGTTTGCATCTGTGTGTCTGCCTTTCTTGTGTGTGTCTGCATTGTGTGTGTATTTTTGGATGTATATTTGAATATATGCATTGGCGGCCATGCTTTTGTATTCTTATAATTACATTCAGGTGAGGTTTTATATATATATATATATATATATATATATATATATATATATATATATATATATATATATATATATATATATATATATATATACTGTGTTCAAAAATAAGAAACGCACAGTTATCCGATGGCATGTTTTTATTAGTTTGTAAATAAAATATTGTACTCGGGTATGTAAAAACAGGCTCAAATGGTTTACCGTGTCCAGTGGACATGTAGGCGTGAATTGCGTGGTTTTTTTGTAGTTGTTATAATGCAGGGGTCAGTTGTATTCAAGACCATATTTTTTAGCATATCTCATGATGCGCGCACGAGAAAGCAACACAATTTGCGGTGAACACTATTCCCTGCCTACGCAATTGAAACCCTATAAAAGGATAACACTACACCAAAACGATCAGTTCATTTTCAAGCAGTCACGGATATAACCTCTATCGATAAATTTAAGGAATATTGCTATTGGCCGATTGCAGGCAGGAGAAAGTAAAAGTCAGGTTGCCAGGCATCTAAACGTGCATCAGAGTACTATCAGTCGACTTTGGTACCGGTTCCAAGCCACTGGTTTAGTTGAAGACCGACATCGCAGTGGACTACCCAGAGTGACAACAGCAGCGGAGAATCGCTTTATTCGGCTTCATAAGATTAGAGACAGGTTTACAACAGCTTCCTCAACTGCCCAGGCATTGCCTCCTGGATATCATGTGTCTGATCAAACTGTTTAGAACAGACTGCATGATGTTGGACTTTAGGCTCGAGGATCTGTCCTTATGCGTCACCGCCACCGAATCGACTTCTTTGGTCCAACAAACATCGCCCCTGGGCCAGTGACAATCAGTGGAGACGTGTCTGGTTCAGTTACGAATCTTTAGTTTTGTTGCAGAGCCTGAATAGACGGCGTAGGGTCTACCGAAGAGAAATGAAGTTTTAATAATTGAATGTCATTGTTCCCCTATGTGTTCCAGGGCTCCATTATTGGGGGAAGGGGGGAGGTGGATAGACCCAGCCAATAGTCTGTGGTATTTCCTTCTAAGCATGAGAGGCTAGGAGCCAACAGTCTGTGGTATTTCCTTCTAAGCATGAGAGGCTAGGAGCCAACAGTCTGTGGTATTTCCTTCTCAACATGAGAGGCTAGAAGCCAACAGTCTGTGGTATTTCCTTCTAAGCATGAGAGGCTAGGAGCCAACAGTCTGTGGTATTTCCTTCTAAGCATGAGAGGCTAGGAGCCAACAGTCTGTGGTATTTCCTTCTAAGCATGAGAGGCTAGGAGCCAACAGTCTGTATAAAAATAAGCCAGACTAGTAAAATAAATTGGCTCTGTAACAAGAGCAAAGACCAGAAGTGGATGAACAGCTGGAACTTTCTGCTGGAGTTTACTGCCAATGAACCTAAAGAGGAAGAAGGATCTAAGCCTTTCTTGACCTATCTTTGTCTCCTTACCCCTGTACCCGGCCGTGTAGAAAGGTTTTGGAATGGCAGTAAATCTTACGGCTTTTCCCTGGGCATTTGTTGAACTTTAACCCTGGATTTAACTGGTTTTGTCAGGTGTCCGACAAGCAGCATCCAGAGCTGCAACAGATCCGCAGACACATCAGCTCTTGCTTCGACAAAATCTCCTGCTTCCTGCTGCCTCACCCGGGTCTGAAGGTGGCCACAAATCCTTACTTTGACGGGAGACTCCGAGGTGAGTTGTCATCTTCATTTACTGTTGCTTTAGTTCACCCGCTCAGAGAAAGCAGTTTTTTGGTGGTATGAAGTCTTTGGGCTGTATCTGTACATCTTTTGTACTGGTTTCAACTGCATAGTTTATGGACATGGTGAGTTGGACTATATAACCCCCTCCCCCTTCCACCACCATCACACACACACAAAAACCACACTGTTAGAGCTGTTATTTAGGGTGAAAAGAAATATTGTATCTAGCAAAGTAAGATCTGTTTATGACTGGTATGATTGTATGTTGAAAAAAAATAAATTGTGTCCAACTGGAATGAATGTGTCTAGAAGAATAAACCCCTATCTGACTAGAATGATTATGTTTAGAAGAATAAGAATGATTGTGTCTAGAAGATAAGAGTGCAACCAGTTCATTGATTGTGTTTAAAAGACAAAGATCTCTTATCTGACAAGAGTGATTGTGTTTAGAAAATTAAGTCTCAACTTAAATGATGTTGTCTAGGAGTATAAAAGATCTGTCTGACAAGAATGATTGTGTCTAGAAGGTAAAGAGACCTGTCTGACAAGAATGATTGTGTCTAGTAGGTAAAGAGACCTGTCTGACAAGAATGATTGTTTCTAGAAGGTAAAGAGACCTGTCTGACAAGAATGATTGTGTTTAGTAGGTAAAGAGACCTGTCTGACAAGAATGATTGTGTCTAGAAGGTAAAGAAACCTGTCTGACAAGAATGATTGTGTCTAGAAGGTAAAGAGACCTGTCTGACAAGAATGATTGTGTCTAGAAGGTAAAGAGACCTGTCTGACAAGAATGATTGTGTCTAGAAGGTAAAGAAACCTGTCTGACAAGAATGATTGTGTCTAGAAGGTAAAGAGACCTGTCTGACAAGAATGATTGTGTTTAGTAGGTAAAGAGACCTGTCTGACAAGAATGATTGTGTCTAGAAGGTAAAGAGACCTGTCTGACAAGAATGATTGTGTTTAGTAGGTAAAGAGACCTGCCTGACAAGAATGATTGTGTCTAGAAGGTAAAGAGACCTGTCTGACAAGAATGATTGTGTCTAGAAGGTAAAGAGACCTGCCTGACAAGAATGATTGTGTCTAGAAGGTAAAGAGACCTGTCTGACAAGAATGATTGTGTCTGACAGATATAGAGCATGACTTCCTGGAGCAGCTGCAGATCCTGACTCAGATGCTGCTGGCCAAGGAGAATATCATACTCAAGGAGATGAATGGACAGAAGATCAAGTGCAAAGACATGGTGGAGTATTTCAAGGTAATCTGGAATCACATGTAACACGTGGTCTGTAGAATGTCGCCCAGGCTTTGTGCTGAGAGAGGAAGAACTTCATTCCTTGCTTGCCTTGATTGTTCTTGAAGTGCAGTGCTGGTCAGACTCGCTGTTTTCTTGAGCTGTGATTACCCTGCTTTCCTGTAGGATAACACTACCGCTTGGAAAAATGCAGACAAACGTTCTTCTTCTTAGAGTTCATCAGCTGTAAATTATGATGGAAAGTTCTGTTTTGTTGACCACTTTTGGACCTTTTTCTTCTTCAAGAACTTGAGTTTCTTTTTCTGCACACCTGTTTTTACATATCTATATGTCGACTTGGTTTTTCACCTGTCAGGCTAATGCACTTAGTCTGTGAAGGAAATGTCCCTAATTAGTTGCCTTCTACAGAATGCTTGTTAGGGGGGCAATGAACTTATTCTTTTTTTTATCCCTAAAAGCGACTGAGGAATCCAAACGGGCACAACAAAAGTCCTATGTAAAGGCATTGGAATAGAAATAGGCTGAAGACGAAAGATAAGGAAGGAGTTTCATTAATTATCCTCACCTGGGAGCCGCACTAGTGAGTGGATAGCACACTTACCTGCTGCTCCTGTAGTCTTAGGTTTGACTGTCCATTGAAATCAGTTAAAAAAATTAATCTAGGCTGCCAGAACGATGCTGCTTGAAATGGGTGCCAGAAATTGTTCTGGGAAGTAAAGGTGGTCAGCTTGATATTGGTTAATTGAATGCTGATTCATCTATAAATATTGAGTGCTGATGGGTCTATACTAATTCTAGCTAGCATCATGTAGCTCTGACCCGCCCGACTTTTCATTCAGGTGACACACTTTTAAGACAAACATCATTTTACGACACAGCAGTTCAGATTGCTTTACAGTACAACACACCTCATGAAAACCTTTAATTTATTTTATATATACATATATATGTGTGTGTGTGTGATTAAATTTTTCCAAGATTAAGTCATTGTTAAAATTATTGACTAATAAAATAAAAGTAATTGAAAAATATCACATGACTTACCATCAGACTGCAGCCAACACACTGGCATGTCACGGTGTATAGTTTGGAAAGCTCTGATATATTGAATGCACATGAAAAGGGCATTATGCATACTCTTGTTGTCAGTTAGTTTATCAGATTTTCTAGTATGTTGAGTCAGACAAACAGGCAACTCAGTCATGAGTAGTGAGTACACCCACCTCCATGTCCACATAGTCAGATGTGGTACACAGGGCACCGTAAGGGATTGCTAGGATTGGGCCAGTGTAGTGCTGCTTTATACAGTGAAGGTGTTGAAAGGATCCTTCTGTGTGTGGCTAGTCTTCCAGAAATGTTCTCTCTTTCAGGCTTACATCAAAATTTATCAAGGGGAAGAGCTGCCGGAGCCAAAGTCTATGTTACAGGTAGGTTTGTGTTCGGCACACTATGTAGATTCCTGTCTTCTCCTCCTCTTCCTCCTTCTTCTTCTCATTCTCCTTATTATTATTATTATTCATCTTCTTCTTTTTCTTTTTCTTCTTCACCTTCTTCTTCTTCCTGTTTTTCTTCTTCTTTTTTTCTTCTTCTTCTTTTTCTTCTTCTTCTTTGCTCTTTAAAGGGACAGCATGTGGTGTGGTAGTTTGCAGCTAGGCTGCAGAATCTGCATCTTTCTACCCAACAGATATGATTGTGGCAGAATCCTTTGTCACCTTTAATGACATGCTTGTTAAGGCTCAGTGGTTTATCCTCCTCCCACGACCTCAAAATGTGGGAACCAGAGCCCACACAGAAATTAAATAGATTTGTTTCATTCTGTGAAGCTGCTAGAAAAGGTCCAGGAGTCGGGGGGCTGACTGAGATGCTGTGGTGGAGCAGTTGCCTGTAACCAGGAGGATCATGATGGTTGTATAGATGTAATTTAATCTGTCAGATGTTATTTAATCTGTCAGATGTAATTTAATCCGTCAAGTATTATTTAATCTGTCAGATGTTATTTAATCTGTGAGACGTAATTTAATCCGTCAAGTATTATTTAATCTGTCAGATGTTATTTAATCTGTGAGATGTAATTTAATCCGTCAAGTATTATTTAATCTGTCAGATGTTATTTAATCTGTGAGATGTAATTTAATCCGTCACGTATTATTTAATCTGTGAGATGTAATTTAATCCGTCAAGTATTATTTAATCTGTCAGATGTTATTTAATCTGTGAAATGTAATTTAATCCGTCAAGTATTATTTAATCTGTCAGATGTCATTTAATCTGTTAAATGTAATTTAATCTGTCCGATGTAGTCTAATCAGTTGAATGTAGTTTGTTTAATATAATTTTAATCTGCAAAATGTAATTTAAGCTGTAAAATATATTTTAACCTGTAAAATGCTATCTAATTTATCAAATATAATTCAATCTGCTTCATCCAAACAGGCAACAGCAGAAGCTAACAATCTGGCAGCAGTGGCTAACTCCAAGGCCTTGTATCATAAACTCATGGAAGAGGTGACTGTCTCTTGTAGTCTAGTTTGTGATCTGTAGAAGTTCTGTATTCTGTTGTAGTTTAGTTTGTGTTCTGTAGAAATGTTGTAGTCTAGCTTGTGTTCTATAGAAGTGTTGTATTATGTTTAAGTCTAGTTTGTGTTCTGTAGAAATGTTGTATTATGTTATAGTCTACTTTGTGTTCTGTTGAAATGTTGTATTCTGTTATAGTCTACTTTGTGTTCTGTAGAAATGGTTTTTATGTTATAGTCTAGTTTGTGTTCTATAGAAATGTTGTATTATGTTATAGTCTAGTTTGTGTTCTACAGATATGTTGTAGTCTACTTTGTGTTCTGTAGAAGTTCTGTATTCTGTTGTAGTCTAGTTTGTGTTCTGTAGAAGTGTTGTAGTCTAGTTTGTGTTCTATAGAAGTGTTGTATTATGTTATAGTCTACTTTGTGTTCTGTAGAAATGGTTTTTATGTTATAGTCTAGTTTGTGTTCTGTAGAAATGTTGTATTATGTTATAGTCTACTTTGTGTTCTGTAGAAATGTTGTATTTTGTTATAGTCTAGTTTGTGTTCTGTAGAGATTTTGTAGTCTAGTTTGTGTTCTGTAGAAATGTTGTATTATGTTATAGTCTAGTTTGTGTTCTGTAGAAATGTTGTATTATGTTATAGTCTAGTTTGTGTTCTGTAGAGATGTTGTATTATGTTATAGTCTACTTTGTGTTCTGTAGAAATGTTGTATTATGTTATAGTCTAGTTTGTGTTCTGTAGAGATGTTGTATTATGTTATAGTCTACTTTGTGTTCTGTAGAGATGTTGTATTATGCTATAGTCTAGTTTGTGTTCTGTAGAAATGTATTATGTTATAGTCTAGTTTGTGTTCTGTAGAGATGTAGTCGACTTTGTGATCTGTAGAAGTGTATTCTGTTGTAGTCTACTTTGTGTTCTGTAGAAGTGTATTCTGTTGTAGTCTACTTTGTGTTCTGTAGAAGTGTATTCTGTTGTAGTCTACTTTGTGTTCTGTAGAAGTGTATTCTGTTGTAGTCTACTTTGTGTTCTGTAGAAGTGTATTCTGTTGTAGTCTACTTTGTGTTCTGTAGAAGTGTATTCTGTTGTAGTCTACTTTGTGTTCTGTAGAAGTGTATTCTGTTGTAGTCTACTTTGTGTTATTTTGTTGTATTCTCTTGTGTCCTCCTTTTATGACATGCTTGTTGAGGAGCAGTGGATCTGTTCTTTCTCCTCCCCTCCTCTCCACCCCTCCCAAAAATGAGGCTCTGCAACATCCAGTTTCAGCTTGTTAAGGGCCCCGGCGTGTTATTTTCCCCCTCTCCCTACCAAAATTGGGACCCTGGAACCACACAGGGATAATGTTACATGTAATAATGTTAAGTTAATGTAACCACAGTTTAAACTCTTATGTAATCTTGTTTTATCCAGATATGTGGCGGCGATAAACCTTACCTTAACCCTGAAGCCCTGCACATAGAGCACAACCGTTGCGTGGAGCGCGCCGTCGACCTCTTCCACTCGATCCGCAAAATGGGTGGCCCTGAGTTTAGCCAAATATACGAGGACAAGATGAAAGAGGACCTCACGGAAGCGTATGAAAACTACGCCAAACACAATGAGTCTAAGAATATTTTCAGCGCTGCCCGGACTCCAGCCGTGCTGTTCACCATCGTGGCTGCTACCTACGTCCTGTCTGGCATATTGGGCCTGATCGGCCTGGAAACCCTGGCCAATCTTGTCAACTTGGTGATGCTTGTGTTCTTAATTCTGTTAGCCACGTGGTTGTACGTGAGATATACCGGAGAGTATCGCAATGTTGCTATTTCCATCGATCAGTTTGCAGACTTTCTCTGGGATAATGTACGTATACATTTATTAGTCAAAATTGTATAATCAGCTTGTTAAGTTGTTCTGTTCCATAATTTGTGTGTGTAACTGTTAGTTGATACATTTTTTACAATTTTACAAGTGATATTTGAATTGAGTCAAGAACTGACATCACAGCACTCGGGACATTGCCATAGATGCACCAGTGTAATCTTCAGCAGCCAGGAAAGAGTTCCAGTTCTGATGGCACTGGGCCCAGTCTCTTGTATGTATATATATATATATATATATATATATATATATATATATATATATATATATATATATATATATATACGCACACACACACTTGTCTGTATGTTGTTGAAGCTGATAGTCTAATATTCTGTAATGCCACTTTCCACATATGTTAAAGGGGTTTTATCACATATGGCTCGGTTTCTATGTCCACAGAACTGCTAGCCGCCTGCCGAGAGAGTCGAACAGAGCACGAACTTTGTAGCTCCGGGGACAATCCCCGGGGATCTCCATAAAAATTGCACTTGTTAACTGTACGGTGGGGCTGTGAAAGGAACACATGACCTTCAGAGCGTGAGACAAAGGACTTGACCACTTTTTCACAGACACCCCCTTTTCCCACACATTTGAGGGATTCTATTGCAAGAGCTTCAGTGTTTTTTTAATGCCATCATTTTCAAAAAATGTGGTATGAAGTATATCGGTGAAATGGCTCTTCGGCTAGCAGATAGGTTTTGGCAACATCTTTCTGATATACAATACAGTACCCTTATACCAAGGTTGAAGCATTTAAATTCTCATTGTCACCAAGGGTCTTCATCATGAAGGCTACGGCCGGCAAGTCTTGCCGCTCCAGAGATTGGAGTCCACAGGTTTCTCGAGAACCACCTAATATTTCTTAATACGCTACAACTTGCCTAAGGGACTTAACATCCCAAACAGTTTTATCTTATTTGTTTGTAGTTATGGCCCTTGCCTGCCTCCTGTTTCTGGCTAATATGTATTTCCTGTGTTTACACGTCTTCAACTGGTCAGACAGACATGTGGATGTTTCTTGGAGAGGTTAGTTGCGTATCCTTTACAGGACGTTGCAGAACCAATCCCAACAGCCCCTGGCTGTTGTGTGGTTTCTCTAGGCAAACTTACGTCCAGTAGTTTGCCATTGCTTACTGGACGGTCGGCCCCCTGATACCATTGTCGAAACCAACGCAAGGTGCATGGCCCGCAGCTGTTCTTGAAGAGACTTCATTGAATTATTTTATGTATTCTTGCTCGTAAATATAACGTCTGTTCTTGTCATGTGCTAATGAACAATTTCTGGCCTTAGCGTTCACTTGTCATTCATGACTGTGTTAATGCGAAGCAGACTAGTTCTACTTTTCTATTGGTTTGATATCTTTTCATGATACATAATTTCCAGAAATTTTTTTGAAATTTTTTGTAAAGGATGGGTAGGAAAAAGGGGACTGAACCTCCATCTGCTTATGCAGTCACCAGTATCTACCTCCCCTTTGTTCTTTTTTCCATTTTTATGGTGACAGCTGCAAGATTGATGGAAAAAGAGCAAGGGAAGATGAAGAGATAAATACCTAGATGACTTGACCATGTGAAACTGATGACCATGTGATACTGATGAGACCATGTGATACTGATAATCATATAGCATAGTATAAGCTGGCATTTGTGGCTGAGACATTGGATACACACAGTGTAATGCCAAGTTTGATCCCAGCTGCAGGTGATTTGGTAGTAGACCACCTTGCGTTGGTAGTGGTATCAAGTGCTGATTGTGCAGAAAGAGATCACTATGGTGTGAGGAGAATGGCGCTGCAAGGAGTTACCAGGGCATATGGCCGACACTCAACACTCAAGGGAGAGTCTAGATGGATGTACAGTCAGACAATTAATGGCGCCATCAGAACTGGAACTTTCCGCTTGCTACTGAAGATGTGGATGGAGCGCTTATGGAAATGTATTCAACACAATAAAGTGCTTCGACTTGACCTGGTAGAAGAAGAGAGACGGTATTAAAAAAAGAATATTAGCTTCGCATGTGTGTTTAAAAAAAATATAGACTATAAAAGAAATTATTGATAATGAGGATATCAAGTGTGCAGTAATGCTTATAATAAGATCACATATAACATTATCATCATTTGTTTGTTGACTTGTTGACAGAACCTTGCTTGAAATATCCTGCCTTCTTTTACAGATGCTGTGTCAGGTTTATGCCAAGGTTGCCGAGACCGGAGTCCGAGAAGCTATGCGTCAGCAGGGACTGGGTCCGTCCACCAACAAAAAAAGAGCCTGAATTCGTGAATTGAAAGCAGCAAGTTAAACTTACCAGCCGTGAGGAGAACTGTGCCCGTAGTTTCTCTGTAGACTACATCATGACCTTTGACATGACATCATCCTTGTGATGAACTTAACGATTATTCTCTGATTGGATAGCCAGCTACAGTCATTATCTAGCAGTCGGGCCTAAAAAAAGATTTATTTCTATTCTTTAACTCTGTGTGTGGTTTAGGACAGTGCGTTTTACGATAAAGTTTAACAGATGTTATTGCCCTGCAAAATATACGTGCAATGGACGCAACTTGAGGTGTGACATTTTTTAAAATGATATTCTCTGTGCATAATTTACAGGGTAGGACGATAATGACAATGGAAAATTAGAGCCTTGAGCAGCTGTGTCCAGTCTAATGGCCTGATGTATTTCATCTGGTCATTACGGACTGTGGGTTTTAGTGTAATGTCATTTCCAGTCTGTCTATTTCTTTTTTCTTTGTTTTTTTTTTTTTTTTAAATACAATCAATATAAAAATGTGCCTTCTAGAGCGTATTTTCAAATCTGCTCTTTTTCTTTTTTTTTATCTTTGTTTTTTTTTTCCCTTAATTTTGTTGACAGATTCTCCTTATTGGTAAGCTGTTGTTGAATAAAATTTGCATATGCGATATTTAAATTAGTTGGAGATTACGGATGATGGTGTGAATTTTACTTAGTCTGATGAAGTAATTCTATGGTAGCTATAGGTTTCTTCCTAAAGTGAAGAGCTACATATTTTTAATTATAGATTTAACTAGAGTTACCCTTGCTTGAGTTTCACCCGTAGTGGGCTTATCCGGACCAAATTGTTATCCTTGTTACACTGTGAGAATTTCATTGCTTGTACCAAAGCTTCTAACACACGAATTGTAGCTTCCCCCCTGATTTGAGAAACGGTGGCTTTGCACAAAATGTATTCATAGTGTGATAACTATGGCAAGACTTTCAAATGCATTTGTGTTTCAATATTTAGATTTATATATCACTCAAGTTAATCAAAACTGTGTTTGTTTTCTGTGCATAACATTACATCAGGGAATTGTGAATGCGAGGGGAAACCATTGAGCCATCTAAGCCTTTGATTGAATGGTTAGTGAATGGTGTTTATATTGTTGATTGAAGTAGACGTGAGGACAGTAGTTCTGGAGACAGTAGATGTGAGGAGAGTAGTTGTGGAGAAAGTAGATGTGAGGACAGTAGATGTGGGGACATTAAATGTGGGGGCAGTAGATGTGAGGTTAGTAAGTGGGATTGGGGGGGGGGGGGAGTATATACCTGAGACCATTAGATGCAAGGATAGTAGGTTTGGGGTGGGTAGTGGGTGGGTGCGGGGACAGACAGGACAGTGGATATGGGGACAGTAAGTGTGGGGGAAATGGGTGTGAGACAGTAGGTTTGGGGTGGGTAGTGGGTGGGTGCGGGGACAGACAGGACAGTGGATATGGGGACAGTAAATGTGGGGGAAATGGGTGTGAGACAGTAGGTATGGTAGATATAATAACAGTAGAATACAAAAATATTTGCTTGCTGTATGCCCGCCAGAGACTTGCAAGCAAATCTATCGGCTATGAAGTCAGTCGGCAAGGCACCTGATGATGATGATGAAGGAATCTGTCTCTAGTTATGAAGTTCCATAAGTCGTGTTTTGTTCTTGCAGCAAAGACATTCTTTTTTTTTTTAAGGGGGTGTAAGGAATTGCAACCCCGTGATATGACCGTGTTTTAGACTATCATGTTTTTGTTGTTTTCTGTCATGAAGCTTTGTTGCCAGATGCTTTGTAATTAGTGGCTGTTCATTATTAATGCTGAGCTTATTGCAGGCCAAATTTGATGAAATTTGGTGAGAATGTCACTGCACCATTCCATAAAAGTTGCATAAGCTTACGACGGATAACTATACTTTATATGAATGAGAAATAGAAAGAGAGAGAGATACAGGGTTGTTTCTGAGTCTCTCGTATTGAGAGAACTGTACTTGTCAGGTCACAATGACACATATGTTAACACCATCCATCCTTCGTTGTTTGCTGAATGTTTCCTGTTGACATTTACTTGAGTTTGTTGTTAGATTTTTACCCGTTCCTTATTTTGCTCCCTGTTCTGTGCTATCAGTACCATTTTCAGTACTTACATTTTGATTGGCTGTTTACTTTCTTTATGATTACTTTGTACTTTACTGACCCTTCTCTGTCCTCCGTTTTTTCGCAACTTCTTCCTGGCTTTGTTCATTTAATGAAACTTTTCTTCTTCATAAAGTTAGCGTCTGCTGAATTATTTCATTTGCTTCTGATAGTTTCCGTCCTCACAGCTATCTGTTATTTATGTGACATGTATGTATATATATGTTGTTTACTGTATTTTGGTCCTTCATGGCTGTGTTTTTGCAGTTGACAACAATTCTGCTGTGTGACATAATTTTTTTTTCTTCAACTTCTTCTTCTTCTTCCTTCTCTTCTTTTTCTGTGCTTGCCTTTAAAAAAAAGCAGTTGGCTTGTAGTGTTGTGGTTTAAAGCTAGGCTGCAGTATCTGACGCCTTTAGGCCCAACTCATCCATATCAGCAAACATTTACTTGGTTACCTTTTAGGACATTCTTGCTTGTAGGGGAGTGGGGCTGGGTGGCAGGTCTTTTACCCCCACTCCCCTCCCCAACAAAACCATGGCCGCCCTGGAACCCACACGGGTAATGTTAGAAACAATCTTGTTATATACATCTATGTCTCGTGCAAATACAGTCAATATCTGTTCTTCCTTTGATAACTTTGATAGTCTCCAGACCTGGCTATGATCCATGTTTCATTTGTCTGCAGTAATAATATTCATCTGCGCTGAGATCGAAGCATGTGGTGGGCAGAAAACAATTTAGCCACTTGAGCTTCTTAATACACAGACATTGTTTTAAGAAAACCTCAGTCTTTAACTCCTGGCTTCCTTCAAAGCCAGCATCTGTCCTAGAGGCAAGGAATAACCAACTGCACATAAATAAGCCAAATAAAACGGATGTACACACATCACGCTGGTCCTGGCATCAAGCCAAAGTCCAACATGATGAATGACCCGGCCTTTCCGACTGGAGCTGGCAGCAGGCGAATGCAAACTAACAGCAACACCACCTGGCTGAATGAGTTGTCAGTGAGCGTCTTCTGGTGGTGACTACTGACCACAACACCTGGCTGAATGAGCTGTCAGTGAGCGTCTTCTGGTGGTGACTACTGACCACAACACCTGGCTGAATGAGCTGTCAGTGAGCGTCTTCTGGTGGTGACTACTGACCACAATACCTGGCTGAAGGAGCTGTCAGTGAGCGTCTTCTGGTGGTGACAGTTAGCTTTATGACGAGCCATTAACAGAATAGAAAAGGCAACGAGCACCCGCCGATAGTCAGCCCATGGAAGTCTGGTCTTCCTGGCCCTGCACTGGAAGGCAGTCGTTATCTGTGGCAGATTGGGATCATCTCTTATTTTACGGCTGGATGTCTACATTTGAAAGTCTCCTTCTTCATTCATTTTAATAGCACATTATGTTATAGTTTACGGCTAGGCTGCAATATTGATATCTTTGGCCCAACACATCTGATTTCTGCAAACCTCTAACTAGTTGCCTTGCACGACTTGCTCGTTCAGGGGCAGGGAGTGTTCATTTTTTTTTCCTTCTTGATGAAAAATCTAGTCTCAGATTCTGACATTTTAAGTGAGCAGTGTTGCAGACGTCATGCTTTTTCTGTCTTTCTTTTTTTTAATAGTTTTTTTTAAACATGTGAGAGACGGGAAGGGTGAAGATTTGATCATTATAATCAGAAGTGTCACTGGTTAAAGCAGCACTAATGTACAAGTTGGCTGTAGTAGTGGAGCAACTTCATAGCGGCTTTTCCCTCCCCCTTTGTCACTTTCTCTCTACACTCTCTTCTGCTATTTCTTTCTCTCCTTCCACTCTCTTTTCTTGAGGTGATCTATCTGTTGATCAATGTGCATCTGTTTGCACGCATGACTGTGTGGTCTTATTTATCTCTACATCCTAGGCTGGTAGTACTAGACTGCAAGAAAGGATGGTAGAAAATGTAATCAGTGATTTTCTTACATTCCCATTGCTACAAGTTCACTTGAAAGATACCACAACTCACTGTTGACATGACTTCTGTTGCTTACTTTCATTTGCAGCCAATGTAGGGATATTGGCAGTTAACTAATTAGGCTCAACCCTGTAAAAAATCTGGCCATGAGATAATACTTTTATAAAGTATATGCAGACTATGTTGTACATACTATACTGTCTGTCATGTATGAATAATTAATATCAGCTGTATGTATACATTTGTCTTTGTTTACTGAAATTTGAAATTGTTTGAATCATTTCTGTTTGATTTATCTTGCTGTGTTTGTGTGTGAGAGAATGCCTGTTTGACTGATTGCCAACTTTTTTCTATTTCCCCATGCCTAATAATGAGTGAAACAATGACTTTTTTGCTACATTTTAGACTGGATAATTTTTGTTTCGAAGGTAGAGGGAAAGAATATCTGGTTGTGGTTTTGTTTTTGTGTGTTTCCCCATGATGAAATAAATTTCTTGTTTCAGTGCATTTGTGGTGTTTTATCTGAATAGATTTAGACGGGAGGTGAAGGGCAAATGAGAGGGAGTGAGACAATGACTTGGTAGTTCTAAGTAAAATTTCCTGCTTTATGTTTTTTTTATTTTTTTTGGGGGGGGGAGGATATTTGGTTGCGGTTTTGTAAGTTAGTTAATCTTTTATCGGGGGGGGGGGGGGGGGGGGGGGGGGGTGCACTTGATAGATAATGTGGGCATAACCTCAGCGTTACCTTTACTTCCCAGGACACTTCCTGGCACCCACTTTTTAGACTGGGTCAACCTGAGAGCCAAGGTCATTTTTGGAGAAAATAAAATATGGCTCCATCAGGAAATTCTACAGTAAGAAACTAAACACAATAGGAAATTTTGAATCTTGGGCAGTTTTCATAAACATCCAGTCTCGT